CGCTGTGGTGATGTAGGCTGTAGCAAGGTGCGGGTCCTCGAGCTTGTGCAGCAGGTGTCAAGGCTGTGTCACCTGTCATCCTGAAGTGAGTTGATCTGGGTAAGATGGTTGTTTGTCTATGTTGTTAGACAGTAGGCTATCCGTGGTACCCGCGATGTGGAACAGCCAGGTTAGACAAAAAAATCGTTACAGGAGTTAGAGAATGCTTTGCAATCTTTATCCTCTGACAAATCTCCTGGCTCCGATGGTTTAACGGCCAATTTTTACAAATTTTTTTGGGCTTCAATAAAAAATTTTTTATTTAAGGCTTTGACAGAGGTTGAATGTCTTTCACTTTCCCATACTATGAAGCAAGGGGTTATAATTCTCATTCCCAAGCCAGGCAAAGATCCTAAGATTTTAGATAACTTGCGGCCCATTACATTGTTAAATAATGATTATAAATTGTTAGCACACATTTATTCTAATCGGCTGAAGACTGGATTATCTCAGATTATAAGCAATATGCAGTCAGAGTTTATGAGGGGTAGATCGATTCACAATAACTTACGTTTGGTTCAAGATCTGATTGATTATAAAGACAAGATTAACGACGATGGTATAAACACCCCTTTATCTTTGCGGCTTTAGAATTGTATGGGTTTGGGAAACAGTTTAGAAGTACCGCTGTAAACATTAATTTGACCTCTCAGTTTCTGTTAATTAATCTGACTAATTCTGTCTGTTAATTCTAAGAACGTTAATTTCCTGGTTAAGGAAAATAACTTTCTTACTGTACAATACTACTCAGAGCATGTAGCAAAAATCTGCATGATTAGGGACTCCAGTTATGAACAAACAAGGAACGTCAAGTGTGATACAAGTAAGACTTTATTAACTACATAAACACTTAAACTAGTCTGACATACACACACACACACACACACACACACGCATACAGTTGGTATAGGAAAAGGGTTAAAAGAAGAGAAATAAAAACATGAAGCTATGGTACCATTTGATATTCAGCAGATCTACAGCCTGAAGGAAACATCAGTTTCTTAGTTCAAACACACCTTTGTAAAAAGATGATACTTAATGTATCAATTAATAAGACTAAGTTTGATACTTGCACGTCTTGTCTGTCTGAAAGAGAGTCCTGATGCAATCTGAAGGCTCAAGTTGATCTTTGCTGAAGTTGGTTGATGAAAA